CAGAATTCCCCAGCCAGCATGGCTGGCTGAGGAATTCTGGGAGTTAAAGTCCACACATCTTCAAGTTACCAAGGTTGAGAAATACTGAGAAGATCTCTCCCAAAGCCAAATTCAACAGCACTTATTCACAAAGGAATAGCACTGCTAGGCCAAGCTATGTTTTCCTGAGGAGAACAAGAATCATAATCTTGAAAAAGGGTGAGAAAATGTTCACATGTAGCTCCCTTACAAAGCAAAACAATCAGTCTTCCCCAACACTGTAACCTGTCTGAGAACTTACTCTCCATTTGCTTTTTGCAAAATTCTTGCGAATCTGAGCACTGACGGATTCGTGGATATTTTTACTGAGGGCTGTGTCACCGGCAATCCTGAAGAAATATAAAATAAAGAAGACATTTGGTAAAGTAATAGCTTTTGAGGGTTTAGAATTGTATGAACTTTCCTCATCATTCTACCAAAACAAGAATGAAATCCAGCTCTACATTCTTATCAGCTGCCCTGATAGTTACCACGGAAACTCAGAATTAAACACAGCATTGTATTTTATTCTTGGATTAAAAATCCAACATTTCCCATAAGATGAGCCCAGTAAAGCCCTCTGTAGACCTCTCAATCAGCAGGGTTATTTTTGGTGAAGAACCAGGATCATAGAGCTTACTCACCTGACTCTCAAACCTGACTAACTTTTGCCTTGATGTGGCATTTCTCCAGTTGGAAGTTCTCCTTGCTATCAGAGATAAGACTAGTTGATGGTTGATTTGGAAGGTGAATCTTGAAGAGAAATTCTGGCTCTGGACAGGGCCACATGCTCAACAGTTTTCTATCTATTAAGATCACAATCTAACTGGGACATAGACCACTTCTTTAATGTCTCTTCTTAAGTTGACCTTGTTATCTGCTGCTGACACAATTCTCTAAGGACATTTGAGAGGAGAGGTACTTGAAGTAGTAACACAAAAGAGAAGCTTCACTGTAATGATACCCACAGATGAAAGATAGATAGATAGATAGATAGATAGATAGATAGATAGATAGATAGATAGATAGACAGACAGACAGACAGACAGACTTTACTGATTAGTCTATATCAAAGCATGACCATCAGCCACAATAAGATACAATAAAATGAGGTAAGGCGAGATACAAAAAAATGAGATAAAATAGGCTACAGTGAGATAAAATGGAATAAAATATAGTAAGGTAAGATAAAGATAAAAGAGTAAGATAAAATAGTATAAGATAAAATAGACTGCAGAGATATATAATAAGGTAAATATTAAAATTAAAAAACAGTGTATGTTTAGGTGAATTCATCACCTTTGTATGCAATCCCAATGTGTTCTATGAAATGATATATCCTGACTCCAGAATATTCTCCCTAGAAAAGCATTCTTATTTCACCTGCCATTTTGAGTATGAGTGGGTGGTGCTTTACACATCTTGGAGGGAGGCCACAAAGGAAAGATGGAAGCAACACGAGAAAAAGGGCAGCAAGGAGAAACTTAAAAGTTCCTTTGACCTGAAGTCAACTACTGGTGACTTCATAGACTCACCCATGTACTTTTCTTGGCAACAACAGGGAAGTTGCTTTCTTCAGAGATGTGGTTTCAACTTCCCAAAGCAGCTTACAGCCTATGGTTTCCTGGCAGCTAATCTCCCATTCAAATATTATGCAGGCCTGATTCTACTTAGCTTTCTAGATGAGCCAGTGTGGGCTAGGTCTTGCCAAGGAATACATCTGGGTAAAAGCAGATATGCAGGCTTAGATTTTATTCTGGATGGGCCAGTGGAGACACTTGGCACATCTTCAATCAGCCACTTGCTGAACATCAGAGGTTTTTCTTTCCTCTGATAAACAAAAGGATCCAAGGTCTCTTTAACAGCTTCCTACCAAAATTTGCCAGGTCAAGCTTTTCTGATCTTGCCTTGTAAATGAAGGGGAAGACCCCCCCTCCCCCCCGCCAGCCATCTTTCTGTTAAAGCCATAGGCCATCTGGCAAGAAAAAGAGTGCAAAGTCTTCTAGAAATTCAGGGGTTTTCTTCTCTCTTAGATGTATCTTCTATGCCTGAACCAACATGCTTACTCTTCGTTCTTCTGCCTCAAAGACACAGCCATTTCCCAAAGCCTGTTTGTGTTGGAAGGAGTTCCTCAGGACTGGAACATGTGGTTTAGTTTTTTATCAAAAGAAGTAATGAATATTTGCAGCCAGTTAGAAAGGATACATGGAATCTTACCAGCAAAGCACAGACCGGACAAGAAAGGCCATGCTCAGGTTTTCAGCTACCACAGCAAACATTTAAGGTACTCAGAGCAACAAATTAAATATTCTATGGTATAATTTAAATCAGTGAACCCTTACTGACTGATGGAATGGAATAATAGAGCAAGGGGGAACTCTAAAGAAGCACCCAGGAGAAATAGCAAAAATAGCAAGTACTAGTGGGCGTGTTCCCAGTCAGCTAGCCCCAGTATTACATATTAAAATAATCAGACACCTGCTGCACATCGTCTAGTGATTCTGAATTATATCTATAGGAGGGATAGACTTCTCTCTGTGCTGAATCATAAAATGACTATCAGCTCCCAGGTGGGTGGGTGGCTGCAAATGTTTTGCCACACCCAGGATAATATTTACAAGCCCAGATGGGTGCTGGAGATTGTCTGATTAGGGTACAAATTAGAGTTCAGATCAAAAAACAGATTCTTACCTTCCCCAATTTTAAGAAAAGGGAAAGACCGTGGAGGACAGGAGAAGCCATTACTGTTAATCCATACAATCAAGCAAGTTCCAACTTGGAAAAGAAACCAGTGTCTCTCTCCCAGTGTTTTGTTCACAGTGCCAAAGAAGAATGGATCTTGGAGAGCTGTCTTGAACTTGAAGCTACTAAACAGACTCATCAGACAGCAGATCTTCAGAATGGAAACTCTGAAGTGTACATTAGAGGCCATCACTCCAAGTGATTAGGTAACCTCTAGACATTTTGGATATCTACTTACAATCTCCTCCACTGGAGATTTTGCAAATTTGCATATGGGAAAGAACACTTTCATTTTCAAGGCTGTTCCATTTGGGGGTTCATATTTACTTCTATTTGGATGAGCTTTTAATCAGTGCTCCCTCAAGGGAGAAGACATTAAGGTATGTCACCTCCGGTGTCTCTGAGATCATGGGTTTTGTGTACCATAAATAATGAAAAGAGCTCTCTTACTCCTGCCAGGTAGATTCTGCACTTGGAAGTATGATTAACATGGAAGAGGGAAAACTTTCAATTTCCCAAATGGTCACTGAAGTAGAGTGCAATAAGAGAGGTGCCTCCAGGAAAACAACCACTTATGACATTGGCAAGGCTACTAATGATGATAATTTTGGGAGATGGTATCATGGCTCATTTTCATTCCAGACCATTCCAGTGGTCTGAAGGTGCTGAATGAGCCTGATAGAATCACACATGGTGGCTAGATCCCTGCAGTGGTGGCTAGAACTGTCCAGCCTGACTAGAGAATTGCCTGTCAAAGAGTCAGAGATCAGATGGCAGCAGATGACAGCCACACAATTAGGAGATTAGAGACAGATTAGGAAAGGTCTCTCTCAGTCCAGGTTCTGTGATTCCAGTCTGAGTCTTACTGGCCATCAATCACTTAGACCTGAGTACAGTGCATCTGGTGTTGATAGACTTGCAATACCAGTTGGGAACCAAGAATATCTTGGATACGAATGGACAGTGTTACAATATAGGCCTATATCAATCCCTGCAAGGACAAAGGGTTTCAAAGAAGGAGGCAAACCACCTAATGAGATGGGCAGTGGAGCACTGACCTCCATATTGACAGAATACATTAAAAGGGTCACTGAACAGTGGACTGGCTCAGCTGCCAAAGTGTGTCAAATCAGGCATTACAACTGAAGATTTTTAGAAGACAGTGGAAGATGGGGATTCATCATTTGTTTACCTCTGTGTGCTTTGGGACAGTAGAGAACAGGCTAGTGAGCTGGTGCTTCTCACATTTCAGTTAGGTTAATTATGTAAACATGGTCAATCATAGGCAAGTGTGTTGCTTTCTTTTGTTCTGTCCAGTCTACTGGTTTCTGGACCTTCACCTCTGTAGACCAGCCATTTCCTTCCTTCCTCCATCTACTGCTCCTATTTCTTCACTACTGAGTTGAAGAACTCTCTATCCACCCTTACATTGTCAAGAACCCTGCTGCCATGAAATTTGTTCTTCCCCATCTTTTCTCCAAAGTCAGGGCAACAAAGTCTAAACCTTTTTATACACTTGAGACTGCTTTCGGATGGTGTGGGATTAAGGAGAAAAACACTATTGTGATGCCAATACCACTAATATGACTAAACCTGGCCTTACTCAAGGGCTGGGGATAAGATGAAGGCAACATCTGGGGAATGTGGTAGAAAAAAGAGGTTGCCTGGGCATGTTGTGTTATAGAGCAGGGAAAGGCCCTCTGTCTTGCTGACTGTAAGAACTACTACCCAAGTTGTACCATATGGGTCATAATTGGTTAGGACCAACAAGTGCATACTTTACCAAATCTATCCCCCCCCCCTTTTTTTTAACTCAGCTAGATGTCCCTACTGAATTCAGTAGAAAGAGTTTCAGTGAACCTCATGGAGAAAGAAATGACCTTATGACCTCAGTCAAATGAAATAAATTAGGAATGAGGAAACCTTTCTGAGATTCAGACAGAAGGCTCACCAAAGAACTATTGAGTTTAAAGGTGTTAACTTTCCAAGTAATCAAGCCTAGATTTGCACTGTTAGGAATACTTACATGGAAATATTTGGAAATACATAGAATTGATACCAATAACACTTTTGCCAATGACCAGATTTCCACAAGGCACCAGACTAAAAAGAGGGCTAAGTAGTTTTCATTTTTTTCACTATGTTACATGAACTCAGGGAACTGTGTTATCATGTTGTAGAAACAAGATAATATATGACTTACCTTTTGGTATCAAAGTTACTGCATTTAAAGAGAAAGGATTACAAACACTATTTTTTTTAAGCCATCATGGTGAGAACCTGTCTTTGCAACCAATTATTTACAGTTAAAGTCTCAAAACACTGGGAGAAATTTTTTGGGGTCAAGCTGAGTAACAGGTCAGGTGAATTAAATGAGGAGGAAAAAAAGAGAAACTTTTCCAAACTTACATTATATTAAGATTTCAAACTGAGTGTACTAATTTGATCACAAATTATGGTTTTTCCCCCCATTTATTCTAGTAACAGAAATTATCTTCCAGTCCTGTAGTCTCTGCTGCCCATTTGTGTATGCAGGATTTGGGGGAAAAACTCTTCAAAAATATAACAAGACCACAGATGTTTCTGCCAATCAGTATTTTTCTGATTATTTGGTGTGTTTTGAATATCATTTTTATAGCTTATTTAATTTCCTGAGTCTCCTAATAAAATGATGTAGTTCAAGGATGTTTTTAGCTAACAGCCAAATGCTGCCCAAAGCTCTTTTTGTTGGAAATGGTTCTAGATGGAATGGAGGAGAACATCAGTGTTTCAAGTCTTCCAAGTTGCTTATAAGGAAGAAAAGAGGTAGCCTTATTAACATGAACACGGTGTACTATTGGAGCAGCTTACCTAGACATACAGTCCAAGATTAGGGCTATCAGATCAGGCTGTAAAGCTTCAGGCTACCACTAGATGGGAGCAAAATGGGAGTGTTCAGTATCCTACGTCCCCCTAGTGGTCATTTGGAGTTTAGCACTCCAGATACGACTGACCTATCTTAGATACATGAGTTCATAATGCATTAATGTTAACTCAGTGAGAAAATAATATCTGAACCTTTTTCCATTAAAAAAGGAGAGGAAGGGTGACCATAATAGGAACTGTAAGTCATGATGAGGGTGGCGGGTTGCCATTTCACCGAAAGCACAGAGCAAATCTTCTTTTATTGTGAGTGAAAAAGCATTCAATTTTTCTGTGCTTCAGATTTCCATTAAAAATCTCCTCTCCGCTTACCCAGACTGAGTCTCAGATCTATCTGTATTGTCGGACTGCAATCATTCGACTGTATTGCCAAGAGCTTTAAATCCAAGTCTGTATTGATGACAGGTCATGATATTATAATTAAATTTTCAGGGTAATCTCTCTCGCCTTCTCTTTCTTCTTCTGTATTTTCCCCTTGAACTAAGATATTCCACAGAGACAAATGGGATTGGGAATTTCTGAACATTACAACTGATTGGCTTACCACGGATGGCGGGCTGCCTGTTCACAGGTATATCTTTTATTGGGATCTTTCTCCATCAAATTCCGAATAAAATCTTTAGCTGGGAGAAATGAAAACAACAACAAAAACAAAAGATATTTGGTATCTGAAGAAACAAAATGGCACAATGGTATTAAAAGCATCACTATGCAGCAAAAACTTGTACACCAAAGGAATTACATTAATAATCAATCCAATGACTTGATTATATAATGTAGCTCAGTTCAACACCTGGAGTGCTGTTATGATTCCTAAAGCCATATTTTACTTGCACAGTTACTACTATCAGGTTTCACATAGAAGAAGATGTATTTGGGTTTCTTAAATGGAGACTGAGAATTGGTTCATATAATAGTATCAGAAGAAAAAGGAGGAGGAGGAGGAGGAGGAGGCCACAGCTCCCACTATAGGAATTGAGTCATACCCTAAGCTTATCTTAAAAAATAAATAACATTCTGTCACAAAACTATTCAAATTCAACACTCACAAAAGCTGAACTTTTCATCCTCTGTATCTGATTTTTTGGAAAAAAAAAAAAGCAACTGTGGATGATTCCCTGTGTTTTAAATTTATTCTGTGGTGATTGTCATCATGAAGAAGGCTAAAATGAGGCCCTGAAGTCTTGATCTCAGCCACTGGGATGCTCACTTAGCCACCACTTTAAGATCTAGCCATGAGGTCTAGACATGTGATGGGAGGATTCTGAGATTTACAAAAAGTAAGACCCCAAGGAGAATTCTAAACTATGTTCTAAACACCCACAAAGCCTCGACTGCAGTCTGTAACATCACAGCCCCCCTGCAGCATATCTGAGCAGGAAAACTGTAGGAAAAGTACAAGGTAAAGTTATTGGTAATAAGTAGTGATGCTAACTTGTTTCTTACCAGACTCAGAGATATCATCCCAATAGGGAGAGTCAAATTCATATTCTGCTTTAAGAATTTGCTCAAAAAGCTTGGAGTCATTTTCATCATAGAAAGGAGGGTAGCCACAGAGCCTAAAACACAAAATATAGAAACAGGATGGGTTATGTCATAGGAAAACAAATCACTGAAGAAATACTTAGGGTTCTTTTACAACTTTGGACTGTGCCAATCCAAATGCCAGGTAGATAATAGTTTTCTGTTTTTTAAAACAAAAGCTACAAACAAAGTGTAGCTAAGGAAAATTAGGTATAAATACTGTATTCTAAAATACTGGATGAACCAATGCTACATCATGTCAGAATTGAGAGTTGATATAAGTATGATTCCTTTTCTCAGGTTGCATCAATGAGATCTATTACAGGCTTATCTTGTTCTGATAAACCCACAAAGGTTGCCTCCAAGCATCCAAAGAGATGCCCAGATAGGGCATATTTCCCCAATGTGTTAATGATGGATTGTTTTCTCTTGAAGATTTGGAACAGATTAGAAATGTAGAAACCAGAAAAGAGTAACTCATGTTTTAAATCAATCATCTTTTCTCCCTAAAAAGTTCTGCAAAGCTTGTAAAGATGTCCTTTAAATAAGTATAAAATTATTTAGCTATTTTTCTACTGCTATTTAGTTGAAGAAGTGTGATAAGGTAAAGGTTCTTCTATAGGTTATCTAAATGACATTAGTTCCTGAGTTGGTGCAAAATCATATCTAGGTTCTCCAGGGCAAGGGCGCCCCCCCCCCGGTGATCCCTTCTTTGTTGCTCTAAGTCACACATCCATTGTGTAAAACAAGATTTAGCCCTATCAAATTCCAAAGCTCACAAGGATGGGATAGAAAGCTCATACATCTAAGCCAACCACTTTCAATTACAAGTTTCTAGGCAGACTGGAAATCATCCAAAAGGTTTAAAAGCTCAAAGGATTTTGAATAAATTATTCAATGAGTCTGGATCAGAGCTGGAATCCACCTCCCAAAGATGAATGTGTTGGGTACCTAGCCCTGCATCCTACAAATGGCTTGGAGCGATTAAGATTGGCCTCCCAGTCCTTGTAAAGATAGGTCCATATAGGACTTGAGACTTTAGCTCCAAAATGTTCATAAAATTACTTCCTTTAGTGCAGGGGAAAAACCCAAATTCTCTGGACATTTGCTGCTTCCAAAGCACATCCTTGATTTCAGACTGATTAATTAAACATTGCTATCATTGAGATTTCACACAAAGTAAGACAAAGGATTGCGAAGAACTATAGCATTCCCTAAAACCTTTGATCCAGGTACCTCTGTGTAAAAAAATGACTTTTTTGATCCCTCCTCCATCTCACAGCCATGAAAATTCTCTTCCTAAAGTTGACAGGCTTCGGAATGCAGTAGGGTATGGTGTAAGACTAAGTGGGAAAGAATAATCGGATGAAAGATGCCTGCATCTGATTTTCAGCAATATCCCATTCTCTACATCAAAACTCTGGTATCAGTCACATGTTTCTTCTATTTCTCATAGCTACGGAGAAGGGACTTTTGGAGTGCAGCATGGTTAGGCCCCACCAGAAATCCAGAGAGAACCAGCTTGTCTCTGAATTCTGACCTGCCCGACCAGTATTTAAAAAATGAGGCAGCACAAACAAAGTGAAACAATTTCACTCTTTCCCCCAAATATTCAGTGCAATTTTAAAAATTGACTAATGCCTACATATGAGGCCCTCTCTGATGCCCAGGCCTAGAGGCCTCTGGCAGTTCCCATTCCACTCGGATTGGCCTAGGACGGGATGATAAACTTTTATCTTTGTGAGTTTGCATCTACATAAAAGCTGCACCCAGGCTGCATGTAAAAATGAATGAACATGCAAAGGAAATCAGCAGATCTTAACACATTATTGAAATCTCTGCCAATCAAGTTCTAAAATTTATAAATAACTCTTTGCTAGGTTGCTACTTCATTACCATTGCCTTCATCCAGAAATGCAGTATAGATACCAACCGAGGCTTCCCTTCACCACAATTATCTAGGCTAGCATTTGATCTTTAAAAGAGGTCTACCAAATGGTCACGGAAGTTCATCCACAAGGAGTGAAAATAATGTCCATTCCTTGTCTTCTCTAGCCACTAATGTCCAAAGCTACGCTACGTCTGTAATGAGTAAGATAATAAGGCATAGTTGACAGCCATCTGTATTTGATCTACCTCTTGTGAATTGAACAGCATAAAGTATTACACCATTCCTACACTCTTGGATCATACATTTCACAGGATAGCTATAATTGCAGGCTATAATTGTTGGAGGGGGCATTCTCAGAATTGTGCCATGTATATTTATATAAGAGTAGAGATAGCAACTACCTTCATTTTTCAGTAGGAAAATCCTGTTCCATTCAAGAAGTTTCACTTTGTGGGCATTTTCTTATTTCTTCCCAAATGAAGTTAATAATAAAAGGAACGTGGAGAGTTTTTACCATTTCGGACACAACCGCCTAACAGCTGCACTGCTAGCATTCTACTGTATCTATATGTTCTCAGCGTCCCACCCGATCTCACAGAGAGGGGATGCTTCGGATCCCCACGGTAAAAGAACTTCATTTAGTGGGATCCAGAAGGC